TAGCTAAACCTGATACCAGGCTCAGTGAGAACACCATTCAACACAACATATGCGATTAACAAAATTCTGTCATTTTTTATATGATGTCTTCTGTTTGGTTTGGATGCTTTGTCACAGGTTTATGTTTTGATTGAGTGAAGTGTTTTTTCCTCTTAAATGAGTGAAACTCCTCCTCCAAGAAAGTCTGAACCCTAACCTTAATCCTTAGGTAGGGTTAGGATTAGGACTTCCACAAAACCTAGGTAATTATTGATGGCATTGCTGTGCTTTAGTACAGAAATGATATTTTGAAATGGTGTATACTGTACTTATATGTGTTATAGAATTTGCGTTCTTGAGAAAGCTTTAGTCTCTCACATTGGGTCTTAGTACCAGCTCAGGAGGGAATGGAAACAGTTCAGTGTTCTTTATGTCAGCTCTGACAGATAAGTCCACACGTTTACAAGAGACTTAAGGCATTACTCCATGCCAGTCAGATTTAAGTCGTGTGTCATCACTAGTGGAAACCTAGTCACTGAGTGTGACACATCCTGGGCATGATCCTGCAGCTTCCTAGCCGTCCCGATACCTTACCTTGCAAAACTTTTTGTCAGGATAAGGTTTTTGACAAACCTGGAACTGGACTTTGATGTCAGTTTTGGGCTGGCTAGCTTGTTTAGTGCAATGTCAGTTTTAAATGCATTTGTGTTTGAGCAAGTGATGTATACTGTATGCATCCTTGAAAGCATTATTGCTTTGAGCTTCGTGCTGATTCTTATTTCAGAGGGAAAATGTATAGCTAGATTTAAATAAGTACAGTTCTATCAGTCACATCCAGTGAACCAAGATGTAATAATGATAGTTGTCCTCACATTTTTCTTATGTGAAAGAAAATGATATGAGACACATCTAGTTCTGTCTCATATAATTTTTTTTTCTCCTTGTCAGTTGAAGGAAATTGTGATCATGTGCTTTCTTCTTACACCAGGAAAAATCTACTGGTTATTTTCAGGTTTCAGGTTGACTGATGGTTAATCCTGGTATGACTGTCCGTACATTTTGAAGCTGATGTTGAAAAGATGAGGGGTGATTTTGCTGCCAGATCACTCGTACTAATCGCCCAACAAAGTCATGTCCCCCTGGGCTAATTCAGCCCGAAGCAGACAGTCTGCTGGTTTGATATTCTCTGTCTGAGCTTTGTGTGGTTCATATACTCAGCACCAATTCACTGGTAAAAATTGTCCAGCAGACCAGTGTTGACAGCTGTATTCAGCAAAGAATCAGACAAGAAGGATAGAATGTGTACAGTATATAATCTTTCCTAATTGTCACATGCATTAAATGTGGTATTTCTTATGATCTTAGCATGCTTTCAGAGACGAAGCTCACTCATTCAGCCTGTGCCCTTATCCTAGACACCAGACTGTGTCGTTGTTGTGCGCACAGTCTCTGACTGGGGACAAAGCCAGCCCAAGCCCTCTCTGGTAAGGTGTTGTTGAGTTGTCCTACCAAGAGCTACAGTAGCTTCCATTATAAAAACACACAAACATAGTCTCTTTCTTGTTTCTGTTATAAGGCTAAATGGTCACTTTTGGATCAAATGCACATTTTTGTAATACTTTGTAGAAACTGTAATTTGTTCATTTTGCTTATTTTCCCTCCCAACTGCTTTTTTTTCTTTGTTCAGAAAATCAAAATGTGTCAGAGATATGTATCAGGGATATCAGCTATTGAAAAGGGAATGGATTGAGTTCTGATTGGTTCTTTTCCAAAATTTATACAGTATATACTACTGTATATATATTGGGGGGGTGGGGGTCAAAAATGCCATAATAAAATTCATTTTGAGTTAGTAATAATAAAGTTAAATATTAAACATTACATTTTAGTCTGGTCAGATGACAAAGTAGTGGATCTGTGTGAGGTGGACATCAGTCTTTTTGCGTTAAAGTACTTCGATCCATCTACAAGTGCAAATATTTAATTTGCAAAGTGCAGCATGTTTCACAGGCTTGGACTTATCAGAAAGTCTTTAAAGTACAGTAGGTGTCTGATGTGTGTTTTTCAAAAATAGAGATGGTGTAAGCCCATGGGAGAAATGTCATATAGAATCCTTTCACCAAATGCAGAAACTTAATCTTTAGTTATTAAAGTCAAGGATCTTGTTAGAGCTGTGTACCCAGCTGTGCTTATATAGTAGTTAATGATCGGTTTCTATGTCATCCACTCCTTTATTAATAGAGAAGGATAGAGCTGAAATATTAAAGTCACTTTAAAGATCCTAATGGCTGTTTAGGCAAGTGTTATTTAAGGGAACTGTGGACTTGAAATGTTTTACATCTCATTAAAACTGGCAAGAGGTCCCAGTAAATTTCTTGCGACAGAACTGGGCCAGATGTGAGGTAGAAATATTGCACCAGTGCTATATAGAGCAAGACAGAGTGCATGTACGTTTAAGTGCAAGGATGGGTAATGTAAGAGCAAATCTGCATTTTTAATGGGATTCATAACTCTGGTGCTCCGCAATCACTGTACAGTAGGGTCTTGACATCTGCAAATTGAACATCCGCTGACGTGCTTTGGCGCGGTTTGATCTGGCCGACTGGGTCTCAGAAGGAAGAGGAGTAGACTGGGATGAAACCGAGCTGAAGGCTGTTAGCTGATGAACACCCCTGTGCCCGCTGCCCAAGTACCAACTACCCAGCATCCACACCAAGCGAGGTCATGTTTTTTCGAATTGGAATGAACTCTCTCAGTCCTGTGTCCACTGCGTCAGAAATGACAGGCTGGAGATGAGCTTCACAGCAGAGATATACTGTAGTCGGGAAGGCAGAGATAAAGGGCAGGCATCCACTGCTCACGGAGGAGGAATTCATGTTTACTAAAGCGGATTACTGCGATTGTTGTTGTTAGCTTGAGTTGATCAATGTTAAAGCCGATGCATTTGTAACTGTACTTGAATCGTCATCTTAGGGAGGATTATATACTGGCCGGTATTTTGTTTCACCATGCGTAGTGTATACTGCAGTATGTGATGGTATAGGGGTGAATTTGGTTATATGCAACTTTACGATGGTTCTTTGCCCTGAATTCTACGAAAGTCGAGATCCCCCTGTAGCTGATTTCCCCTCCCAATAGTTTGTGCAGCCTGTAGCTGTCAAGCAGAGCGACTCTGTGACTTAGTGGCAGTTCCTGCTTGGAATTGCGAGAGTTGTCCCACAAATCACCAGTGAGGCCCAGCTTTTACTTCCTTTGGCACTCTCCTCAACCTTTTAATATCTCCTTTCTCTATGCTCCCCAGCATGCAGGAGTTGTAACCTCCTTTCTCTCTTAATTTGAGTGTCTGTGGTAAAACTTTGGAATAAATAAACCAGATGTCAACAACAGCCTGTCGGGGGTGGATTAAAAACCATGACCTCGGGGTCTAGCTTGATTTGCTGCTCTGATCCTGTAATGTCTTTCAGCCTCAACTGAGGTATTGAATAAAACCCTGTAATTAATAAAAAACACAGTGGTTGACATTAGGTTGCAATGTGCTTAGAGTCCCTGCTTCCATCTCCTGTCTTTCTCCCACCAAACTATTTTGTTTTCAATGCTCAGTTTCGCACTGAAAATCATTTATCGATGGCTGCCCCAATTCACACAACAGATATCATAGAGTAATAGTAGTAATAATAATAATCATGTGATCTTCATTCCTTAAACTTACATAGCACTTAAAGCGCTTCACAGTTTAATGGGGATCCCCTCCACCACCAATGTGCAGCCCCACCTCGGTGATGTGACGGCAGCCATAGTGCACCAGTACACTTCCCACACACCAGCTCTCAGTGGGGAGGAGAGCAGAGTGATGGAGCCAGTTCAGAGATGGGGATTATTAGGAGGCCATGACTGGTAAAGGTCAATGGGAAATTTGGCCAGGACCCCAGGGTAACACCCCTCCTCTTTTTCGGAAAAACCCTGGGAATTCTAATAACCACAGAGAGTCAGGACCTCGGTTTAACATCTCATCCAAAATACGGCACTTTTTTTTTTTTTTACAGTATAGTGTCCCAGTCACTATACTGGGGCATTAGGACCCACACAGACCACAGGGTGAGTGCCCCCTTCTGGCTCCACTACCACCTCTTCCAGCAGCAGTTTTTCTCCCATCCAGGTACTGGCCAGGCTCACACACACGCTGAGTGCTCAGTGGGACTGCCAGCTGTGAGTTGTAGGGTGATATAGCTGAATGTTATATACTGTATATATACCTGTACATATAGAAGGTTAAAAGCCTCCCACTTTTCTGTGAACCTCGCACCCTTCTAGAGCAGCCTCCTCCAAGGGGAGGTGGCCCTCTTCCCTGTGCCATCACACAGCAGTGTCACCGGGTTCCAGCGGCCCTCAGTCACTCAGCCACTTAAACATCTGGGTCATGTTTCGAGTGACAGCCATTGAGGCCCTTTATTGGAGTTTTAATGCAGTTTGTCACTGATTTCATGCTCTCCAGACACTAAAAGGTCACCGCAGGATGTCATGAGCACAAAGGCCAGCTGTGACCTTAACATGACCCTACACTACATGAGTAGTGAGCAGCCATCTACTCTTGGGTATTTAAAGCCGTACTCTTGGCTTAAAGTGACATCTTGTTTAACATCCATAGTGCACTGAGATGTGATGATCTGATTTATTTGCTGTGAGTCTGTCGTCAGAAATCCCCAGTGATGTATTTGTGGCATGTTTTTTGAAGACCTATTTTTCCAAAATATCCTCCTCTGTGTACGATATACGTTTTCCACATGCTTAGATGCTCCTTGTGGAGTCCGACTACTGTACGAATCTGATCATTGGCATTTTGTGGAGCAGGATGGCTCCTGAACTTTTTTGGTCGGCAAGGAATCCATGCTCATTTCACTGCCCTCTTTCCGTTCCCCTGTTGTCTCTTGCTCGACATCCGCCTCTTAAAGGCGGTCTCGGAAATTTAGACTGCATCTCCTCTTCCATCCTGCAGGAGCTGCTGTCTCAGGGCTGCGTCTTCCAGGAGAGGCATGGCTGGGAGCGCCCAGGCTGGTTTAATCGTGAAGCCCCAGCCCCGGTAAGAACATCTCCAGCACATTCCTCCACGCTTGGCAGACAGTTCTCCTTTCCTCTTAAGATATTCCACCACAACCCACTCCAAGACACTCCAGGTTACTGTGCATCAGGCCCTCCCTGTTTTAGTCACATCGTAACACGTTAAAAGCCAAGACAACCAGAACTGAAGCATAGAGTTGTACCTGTAAGTCTCCTTTACCCTGTTGTGATAGGTGGTAACTATGCAACAGTATGGAATTCAGCAGTGGGAGTGCTTGATTCCTCTTATGACATCAACTGAGATACATCAGTGCTCTCTGATCTTATACTGGGGGCATAGACAGGCACTGGTCCACACGATGGCACCAGATCTGTGCCTTGGTTGGCCTTTGAAATGGTAGTGCAGTTGGCAGTTCTGAAAGCCTGACTCTCTTGTGTTGGCCGTGCCGACAGGTTTTGGACTACGATTACTACGGGGCCTACGACGTTTCCAAAAACCACCACTACAAGTACAAGGACCTCCTGGGGAAAGAGTATACATTTGATTTCCCACCTCATCATGACGTGGTGAGTGTGAGCTACTGCTGCAGATTGGGGGCACAAATCCCAGGTCTCCCCTTTTAGTTTGCACCCTAATGAGGGCTTATTGAATAATTAAAATAATTCCTTACACTTATATAGTGCTTTTCTGGGCACTCCACTCAAAGCGCTTTACAGGTAATGGGGAATCCCACTAACACCACCAATGTGCAGTCCCATGTGGATGATGTTACGGCAGCCAGAGTGCACTAGAACGCTCACCACACACCAGCTATCAGTCAGGAGGTGATGAAACCAGTTTATAGATGGGGGTTATCAGGAGGCCGTGACTGGTAAAGGCCGGTAAAGGAGGATAAGTTTAGCCAGGACACCCCTACTGTTTTCGAGAAACACCATGGGATTTTAAATGACCACAGAGAGTCAGGATCTCGGTTTAACATCTCATCCAAAGGACGGCACCTTTTTTTTACAGTAGTGTCCCTGTCACTGTACTGCGGCATTAGGACCCCCACAGACTGTAGGGTGAGTGCCCTCTGCTGGCCCCACTAACACGTCTTCCAACAGCAACCTCAGTTTTTCCCAGGAGCCTCCCATCCAGGTACTTCAAATCTACTGGATTGATTTTGTCACCTTTGACAAGGCCCTTGGGTAATCTTCTCTGTTCAGGACTAAAACGAATCAGTATTTATCCTGTCTGTGTATTCCTCATAATTTGGTCACAAAAGCTAACCTCCTTTTGGTTTCAGATCAAGAATGAGTGCTTGACGTGCAGGAACGCTCTGGCTGTGTTCAACATGTCTTACTTTGGCAAATTCTTCCTGCTGGGGCCTGATGCCAAGAAAGCAGCAGACTGGCTCTTTTCAGCGGAGGTTTATAAGCCTGTGGGTGAGTTGCAAGTCCAGCAAGACAGGAAAATGGAGAATTTGCTTCTTGGTTCATGAGAATTGTGTTTCTATCAGCTCGGTGGAACCGTGACATGCAAAGTGCATTCTAATCGAAATGAAAAACTGAGGTAATGGGTTTTTTTTGTATTTGGAAAACTAGTGCTGATATGCACAGTTTATAAATGAAATGTAATTTTCCCACTGAAGGTCTTTCCTTTGTGCCACGTGCACCCTGTGTTATCAATTTTCTTCCGCGCCTAATTTCAAAATTTCATAGATCTTTGATATAGCTTCCTTCTGCAGATTTTGCAGCTCGTAAACCCATTTGAACGGTGGAGGAAATAAACGTTCGAATGCATCTCGTCCCTAACATGAGTCACTATTTGGGGAAATAAAGATCTCGCTCCCCAGGTGTGAACTGTTTTATGAGCGAGGAAACATATCCGAGTTACTAAGAATTAGTCAGGTTAGTAAGGTTAAAAGAAAGTTTTACCCTGCATAGAACTCTTCACGGTTTGTCGAGACGCACTGTTGAAATCTTTCCCGTCTTTTGCTTAGCGAATCGTGCCGATTTCCGAAAGTGAAATTTTAATATTCAGTGAGCCCAGTTTGTTACAGATGAATTCAGTAACAAGTTACATGCTGTTCATTAATTGAGTAGCCACTTGCCTTCGGTTAAAGTGACATCGGCCAGTTAGGGTGATGCATAATTCAGTGACAGTCATTTCTTTCCTTGCTCGGCTGAGTTGTGGGGAAATTCAGACATAAAATCCGAGCTTTGAAAGACTAGATTAATACAGCGTGGTAACGCGTGGTGTATACGTGTGCTTTACCTGGGGACTTCTAATGACAGAATGTCTTGCTGAGACTTGATGGTCCTTGTTCAGCAAAATGTGGCCTCACATTTGAAAACTAAAACCTAGATGAACGAAAACGTTCATCTTGCATCTTTTCTAGGGCCTTGAATGCAAATGAGGGGTCTGAATAATCTATACGGGACACCTGCAAGCAGTTAGCATAAATCCAGAGTGGCAGAGAGTAGCTGTAGGATCAGGGCACAGGGCACACAGCTCTACAGAAAGCAGAGTGCCCACAGAAGAAGTGTATCTCAGCCAGCTGGGAAGCCACCTGTCAGGTAAATCCTTGTGTTGGCTGATCCCCCTTAATTCAGTCCTGCAGCACAACCAATTTACATAGAAAAGCTGCAAGCAACTTGAATTGAATATGCACAGAACTTGCCCCTGTCTAACAGTGCTCTTACCCCAGTCTAGAGGTCTATAAAAGCACCCATAGTGCTTTGTGACAAAGAGCCATTAGGATGCCAGGTGCAGGCCACCAGACGTGTTAAGGTAGGTAGGTCCCTTTTCAGGCCATCAAGGCCCATGGGGGAACGGGGGGGGGAGGAGGGCCATCATTTTTCTTGACCATCCGACACTGGAGGTGGAGGTGATGTGGTCAGTATCACGCTCCGGCCAGCCTATTACTCCCACAGCACACTGAGTGGACCTGGGAGTTGTCAAAGGAAGGAATTAGAGCTACATCTTTCACCCCTACCTGGGATTGAAGCGATCAGACGCCCTTGCCGTCTGAGCTGCTATGGCTCCACAGAAGTGTTAAGGACAGTTTCAAATCTCCGGATGCCACTGTACCGGACAAACCGTACTGATAAACTTTTGGGGATGTTATGCGATTGTCAGTTTGGAAGTGGCTTCTCAGAGCTGTGGAGGATGGAACAGGGGGAGCTCAAATGTTTCTGCACTGTGAGGCTTTTGCTGATGGAGGGGATGCAACACCCACTCTGGCCTGTAGGCACTAGCTTTTTTTCAGGCTCCTTTTATTCTGACGTTGTAGGAAAACCAAGTCCTCTGATCTCTCCCCCCCCTCCCTCAGGCTCCACAGTCTACACCTGCATGCTGAACAAAAGGGGAGGCGTGGAGAGTGACCTGACAGTCAGCCGGATCGAGTCAGGCTGCCCAGGCTCTGCTTTGGCTCCGTCTTTCCAAGGTCAGTCTCCTCGTAGCCATGCTGTGTCTCTCCCGACTCCAAAAGTTCACGGCCCGCAGTCCTGAATGGGATGGGATTTTTCGGAAGGGATGTAGGGGGTCCTGGCAGATGTCATATCCCTGTAGTTTTCTGTCCAACTGCCAGCTTTCCTCTTCCAAAGAATACGCCGGTGGTGTGTGTGCCTCAGGCATTAAAAAAGGCAAATGAATCTTTCTGGTACTTTCACAGACAGCCACGATGCAGTCTGGGATTTATAAAGTCATGAATATGTGGCAGGCAACTAATATTTATTCCATGAACCGTGTTAAATGAGGGGTAAACTGCACTTGTGCACACTCGCAAAATAAACATGAAATATGGGCAGTGTTTTCTGTTATTGACTAAGAACCTGCTGTTTTTCTACAGAGCTTTCATTAATAATCAAAATTCATGTACTGTGAAGACAGTTGTGTTTGCTTTTCTAAATGGGGGATTGAAAGCACGACCTGTTTGAGGTACAGTAAATGAATCAGAAAGGCAGGCCATTTGTTATATCACCAATACACATTTGTTCCAGTACTTAATGCAGTAAACAGCAAGAAAACATTGTGATGACTTCCATTCCCTGCAGACGTGTACATTTCAAGGAATGGTCTAGTCATTTCAGGCCTTGTTGTGGCGTTTTCAAGCAAAGTTGCTTCATAATGGAAACAGTGTTCCCATCATTTTATCCTATAAAGTCATTTGAAAGTGACAAATGAGAAACCTTTTATTCACATTCTCACTAATCCACTGTAAACTCGTGCCAGGTTTGAGTGGGCTGTTTGCCATTGTCTACCTACAGTTGCCGAGTGCGTGCTGGTGTGGAGTATGGTTGCCATCTTGTTGTCCATTCTTAAACCCAGTTAAGAAAATTACCGCAAACTAAAAAAAAAAAATGTAGCCATAAATACCAGAGGAAGAAATGGTTTGCACATGTCTGTGAATTCTGGCACCACGGTCATCTGTGCTGTTCTCTGCCTCTTCTTTAAAATGACAGGTGGTTGGTGGCCACAAAATCTGCTTAGACTTCCTAAATATCAGAGCCAAGGATGTTAAAAACCCTTCCACGGGTCCCAGTGGGTAAATGTGCTCACCTGAGGATAGGTTGAGTTCTGTGGTCTAGGTGCTGCAGGTTCAAGCTTGGATCACACCACTAGTCTATTAGCTGTAGAACTCTCAACATAGACTGGATTCGCCTCGCTCTGGGTGACACTGGGTGCTTGCAGGAACGTCGTACTGTCGGTAATGGAGGAACTCCCTCTCCAGGCAGTGCTAATTTTCCTCTATGGGGCTCTGGTTCCTATGATTGGAGTGGCTGGAAATCAGGCAGGTCAGAGGAGTCTTCACTTTCTCAGCCTTTTCCTGTGTGCGGATGTGTGGTTTGCACAAGCTGTGAGCTGAGAGAGAACTGGAGGGAAAAAAAAAATAGAAGAACTGCCAATCACCTGCAAGAGTTCTGTGCCCGCTGACATCAACTTCATACAGTTTTGTGCTATACAACCATCTTTTTTCTTCTTTTGCAACACTCCTGGAATGTGCAGGTTTTCTCATTTAGAGTGTGAATCACCGAAACCGAAAAGTTATAAAGCTGACAAAGTAGACAGCAGTTTGGAATCTGGAATGTGCACAGGTGGGAGATTGTGTGAGTCTTGGCATTCAAAGTTTCCCAGAAAACAACCTGTTAAAGCACAGCATGAAAGGGGTCAGTCTAATGAACTCTACCCAGGTGAAACTGTAACTGGGCACTACAGTGTCTGTGCAAGAACCCCCATATGGTGAATGTCAGTGCGATCTTCCCCATCTTCTTTACTGAAAAGAATGGAGGATTTTTTTTTTAAACAACCATCAAGCTGTGCAAGCTGCAAAGCTCCTTGGAGAGCTTTGCAATATTAAACAGGTTGTTATGGTAACTGATTTTTATTCAGAGTGCTGATAAGGCAGAAGAGTGACCTCGGTTTAACAGAAAACAAGAGATCTGCTGGATGCATACCTGCCTGAATGTGCGTAGGTAGTGCTCTCTATCCTCCCCCTCTTATCTTTTTATCCTGCTTGAGAACATTTCTATTTTCTCTCCAAAACCCAGGGCTGTTTATATTTCAGAAGTATTCTTCACAAGGCCCAGTGTAGCCGACGTAACATTTTCGAGATGTACACATTGATCCTTTCCCGGATACAGATTGACACACCCAAAGAAGGCTCCACAGCTGAAACGCTGGGTGTCATTTCTTCTCTTTTCAGCAGGGAATAAAACCTTTGCTTGTTCCTTCGAATGGACTGTTTTTTCTCAAATTGATTCATCATGGCTGCAGACGCAAAGACATCGAGCACGCCCTCCGATTCGAGCCCTGCTGATTCTTCTGCCAGTTCTCCAGCTGTGAGGCCCTCAGCAGAGTCGTTATCGAATGGAGGACGGTTGTAGCTCTTCGTACAGTGGCGCAAGATACACCAGAGCCCGACAAGCCACAAGAATCACTCAAATGTCATGTCAAGCCGGGGTCATCTGTTGACTTGAACCTTCTGAAACCCAGTGGCACTTGGCCAGTCTTCCACTGGCCTGAAGTGTCGGGCTTTTTCTGTCTGCTCCTCTCTTCTCTCCCATGATTCATCTCCCTCTAGAGTGAAAAAGACAGTTGGGCAGGGGTGGGAGTGTCCCACATCGCTCCACATGTCACGTCCTGTCCCAGCCTCCCCATTTCCTGTGTCATCAACTCCCACCACGAACCGCCCTTGCGTCTCAAGTTCGCGGCTGCTTCCTCGTTTTGATCCAAATTTGTCCCTGTCTTTTTGCACTGCATGAATTTAAGAACAAAGTCCGAACTGGACTTTTGTCTACCGTCTGAAATTATGAATGGTTTGCAATATTACTTAGGCCAGAAGCTACATTGCTTAAACCTGCCCCGCTGAATGAGTAACTTTTTTTTTTACATATACAGTATTGTATCTTTAATCTGTATCCATAGAGCCAAAGTTACAGTACCTTTGCGCTGGCCCTGCCGTGCTTCTCAGTGTTGGCTTCAGAACAAAGATGATTTCACATATTGCTTTATGTGCACAAACAGAAGATAAAGCATTGACAGTAAACCGTAAATTAACTTTGCTTCCTGCTTTTTTCCTTCCCATTAGCTTCCTTATGTCTAAAAGATCTCATTAATGAGCACATAAGTTGACAGATTGCGGTTTAATGAGCAGCCAAGACCCTACACCTCCAGCTCCCCAGCAATCACCTTGCGTCTCCCTAACGAAATAATGAGCCCTGAAGCAGCTTGCTTTCAATTCACTCAGAAGTTCACCCCTGTTCTCAACGATGGGCTATAAAGTTTTTGTGTGCTCTACAAGCTAGAAGTGTCTTGTTCTACACTGTCATGCACAATGCTCCTGTTTCCCACTCCTGGACTGTTCCTGTGCCTGTGCTGCTCTTTATTTTGACTGAGCTTGTTTGATTCATTAAGCTCGTTGAACCTCTGAGTGAACTGTTTGCTTTAAGAAATTCAGCTGGATTCTTTATTCATACTGGGAGTGGAGAGATGGGTTTGGTAGTTGGATTAGGAGCTAGGATTTGGAAATGGGTTTCCTCTGCTTTGGCTGTTGTGTTAACAGACCCCTCTGGGTCCTGTGGTTTTAATCTTGTCCTCTCGTGTAGTTGGAGGCTGGTCTGGCTGCAGCTAAAAATATTCTAGATGCTCCACAATGGGTTCCAAATACCTACTTTTTGACAGTAGCCAAACGGTGTCCTTTTCTGAGGAGAACACATTTCTTTTTGTATCTTCATGAATCTTTGAGCCTGTTCAGAGCATGGACGTATGCTCTGGACTCGTCCTGTATGGCTACAAATGATGTCACTCACACGAGAGAGTCAATTCTGAAGCTGACAAGCACAGAGCTTTGATTTTGATCATTAAAAAGTGAAAACTTGAACCTTTGCGTTCAAAGACAAATATCACGTCGGGGCTAGATGAAAACTGGGGACATGGAGGACTCTGTGTTATAGGAGGTGCAGATCTTGAAATGAAGTGTTAATGTCATGTCCTTGCTACCTGGTCAATGAAGATCTAATGGTTATGATATGGGTTGTAGGAGGAGAAATGTTAACCTGGTGTCCTTGCTAAATTTCACTTTGGGTGTGAACAATCTGATCTCCCTAATTTCCCTCATTAATTAATCGATGAAACTGTGTCTCACTCTTCCTCCTGGTATGCGATGCGTCTTCCTCCATTTGAAGAGCCATTTGTTGTGGCTTTTTTTGTTGTGGGGGGAAGGGATTAGTCTTATTAATGAATCTATTCAAGTTTTAATAATCCACTTAAAAGAAATAGTGGGAAACATGAACATAAACATTAGTTTCATGTCCAATTGGAAAAAAAGCACCTCTGTGGAAGGCATCGGCTTCTCTGCTAATCTTGGGTAAACGAACTTTGGGTATCTCTTAAAGATCTAAAATATAGATGCATAAGTAAAAACGTCATAAAAAAGTGCAACTAGCCAACCAAGCAGTCTAATAAGGGGCGGAAGGGCTAATAGAAGCTAATGTTCAGCTTGAAAGGGTTTTATTGGAGGAAATGAATTAGATTTGGATTGCCAGGCTCCATCTGTTAGGGGTGATGTTGTCATTTAGCGCACTTTTTCATAGTCCAGTAGACACAACTGTGAAATATGAGGGCCCTACCTCCTAGAACCCCTATTATATGGCTGCACGTGTGTGCGTGTGCTGTGAATGTGAGTGTAGCTGTGTGAAACACAGGGAACCAGGGATAGTAATCATCTGATGGGGAGTGCCACATAAAAAACAATACTCATTTGGCATTTAAGCAGTTCAGACTGCTCTCTGTCCTGATCAGTTTTTCTGCACATTTTTCAAGAATTCTGGATTAGGATGCACCGAACATATGCTCTGCTTTGAGTGCCGCATTTACACCGTGTGAATCAGCAGTAACAGCAGAGTACCGCACAGTAAACTATGGTGAAATCAGAGTATGAGCGCAGTAAATCTTGATTCTGACATTTTTAAAGCAAGGTAAGTGCATTAACTGAAACTTGGGGGAGGCTTGGAAGTGCAGATGTACCTTTGAGAACTGTCCTAGGATATAATCCCATTTCCTTTCTTAACCTTGTTAATTAGTACATCATAATGCACATCTCCGAGGCAGGAAAACAGCCTAAAACTAAGTGATGTAGATACAAGACTTACGGTATATGAGGATGAAGCGACAGTGTATTAAAGTCTTAGCAGGTTTTATTCAGTGGTGTTGATGCACGTCTTGACACTGGGGTTGACATCATGCTGTGAAGAAGTGCACTGTGGGATTTTAATTGTTCGTATTGGTAAGCTGGCAGCACGGGCTGCTTCCTGAAACAGGTATGCCCATTCCAAAACTGGAAGCAGCTTCTCTTCACAGACACGACTGAGGTTACTTGAAAGGCCTGAATTTAAGAATTAGAGTCCTGGCAATGTTCCCAAAACTGCGAGTGAAGAGTGATTTTATTAGGAAAATATATTTTTAAATTGCTGGCTAAATTGGTTACAGGCTATTCTTTTAATATTTATTTTTAGAAATATTTTAATGGTTTGTTAGAGAGTGTGCAATTCAATTACAGTTGTGTTAAATATCTTATTGAAGGCATGAAATATCTTAGTTCCAGATTTTTACTGGAATATCTCAGGAGATGAGGCGAGTCCCAAAGGGATGTCTGTGAGCCTGTTGGTTTTACTTTTGTGAGTTAATAATTTAAGGGACAGGATCCTTCACATACAGTTCGTCTGTGCCCGTTAGTATTTTTCTAATAGAACCTTTTCGAGCATCTCCTATTTCAAAACAGGGCCTTCGTTTTCAGGAGCACCGCGGTTGCCTGCCTCTCTGTATCTGCCTGTGAAAGCTGTTCATCCTCGAAAAGAGCACGCAGTACACTGAGCCTAATCGAGGAAAAGATGGATGTGTGTCAAGGGCTGACTAACTTTTCAGCATTGATTCCAAGGACGACAAAAACACGTAGGCTTAATCTGGTCAGCGCAGAGTTAATCACAGTAGCCCAGGTGGCTTTGGAGCAAACGTGATCCAGTCCTCTGGGAAACACTGTTCTCTCTTCCTCTGCTTTAGCGAACCTGCCTAATTGAGCAGCCTTAATGACACATCTGAGTTGGAATACCAGTCAATGGAAAAAAGAAGGACAGTGTTTCACTTATGAATATTCTTTTCAGTGTTCATTTGCACTATTTTAAAAGCTTTCCTAGGTTTTATGTCACCCTTAGACCATGCGGTTGATTTTTACCTTCCCCCTCAGTGCTTTACTGTGCTTATACCATGGTTTCTTTCCCTTGTCTCCAACCATTGTGTGGCACTTGTTGTAAACTTGCTTCAGCGTCTTCCTTGATGCTAAATTGAAGGTTGACGGAGGGAGTGAATGTAGTACAGTAGCTCTCTCTTTCTCACTTTTAGCTTGGCACAGCATGCTGAGGAGCTGAACGACGCGCTCTAAACATTCACTTTAGCCATTAATCTGCATTATTTCCTCTTTAGCCTACATTTGTTATTCAGCCACAGAGATGTAACTAACAGGAAGGGGTGCCTTGATTTACAGCTCGGTATGTGACATGGAGAAAAAAAAAACAAGTACATACTGTAGTATAGTCACCGCATATTGAACTATCTACACCCTTTCTTATAGGTCTTAAAGTCATGCAATGTTTAGTTAGCATGTCCCAAAAAGCATGATGAAAATGTATAGCCCGTATGAGGAATGCTTTAGTGGAAAGTGGTCCATCTTAACCACAAGAACTGTGATGGATCTTGGGTAGTTTACACTGCTGTCACAAGGATGGAATCAAAGGGGAGAGACGTGGTTTAGTTGTGCAGTTTGCTTATGGATACAGAAATGGGTAGGAGTTCTTGTTTTGTTCTTGCCTCGAGCGTCCTGCTCTTCCAGACTGGACCCCGATAAATAGGGTAAGCCCAGCCTGGAGGTCACGATGCACAGCGGTACCCCTTTTTTTTTTGCGTTGTTGTTGTTTATTTTTCACCCTTTTTTGTGTTATTTTCGGGCCCCGCTAACCTCACACCAGCACCTCCGCCCCCCCCCACCCGGGACGTTGACTCGAACGCGCCGCTCTTGCGTCCCAGGTGTCCTAAACCCTGGCCTTCTCTCACTCTTCCCTCGCCTCCACAGGAGACGGCTTCTACTTGGCGATCGGGGGTGGAGTGGCACAGCACAACTGGTGCCACATTCAGAACGTGCTGCACGACATGAAGTTCCAGTGCCAGCTTCTGGACTGCTCGGAGGACCTGGGCATGATCAGCATCCAGGGCCCGCAGAGGTGAGAGCACGGACTCTTGCCTGCGTTAATATCCCAATTCAATCGCTTCACCGCTGGGGAACGGCTCTGGAACGTGCTCTCGATGGGTTCTGCGCAGGCATTGGTGCTGATTGGATGAAAGTTGGAAGCACTCCAAACTCACAGGGCTCAGAAGTCGCCAAAAACATCACCCCCAATAACGTATACGACAGAACATCCCTATCCCTGGCTATCTTTACATCGCTGCTTTCTCACCAGCACATCCAGAATCTAGCTGCACACAGGCTCTGGGCATGTTAAGGCTAGTTGGTTCTGTGTTTAAATACCCTTTCATAGACCTTTGATACATTGCTGTGTAACAACTGGGAAGGACAGTGGCAGTGCATCACGAGGAAAGGCAGATTTTCTGCTGCTATGTCGGGGTGGCCAGTCCTGATCCTGGAGAACCCCAATCCAGCAGGTCTCAGGAGTCAACCTTACATCATCCATTTGTGAAGACCAGGAGTCCATGAGTTTCCATCAGTCTAACTCGATTTGAAAGATCTTAGATTCCTTACTCGAACAGATCATCACCATTCTAAGCAGGCCGAGTGGAATTGCTCTAAGTGTTCAGAAGTTAAGGAATTAAGGTCAATCTCATGTGTAGGACCTGCTGGATTGTGACACCCCAGGACTAGGGTTGTCCATTCATGCACTGTACTGTCACTGGCTGGCCAGCAGCCCTGTTGAGTCCCTCGTTCACTCTCTGGACATGCCGGTTAAGTGGTTGACCCAGCACTGAGAGCACAGGGATATCTCCACCTTTTCATCTCAAGAGGATGCCAGGCCCTACTACAGTACATACTGTGCATGTTTAATATTTTCACGCTGTATATAATATATACAGTATATGGCAGACCTACTGCAGGTGGTTTGGAGTTTTGATTACTAATGTCTGGAGCTTTTATTGTTGGTAAAGGTCACATTAGTGACTGGAAGAAGGTCTCTCTTCCTTTGGGTCTCCCAGTGCAGCTGTCTGGTGGACCGTTTTGCTCATTTCATATTGCCACTCAGAAACGGTGGCTTAAAAGAATGAATTCAATTGACTCTCCAGTAGGTGCTTGTCATATAAATGCCATATGGTAAGTGGATTTCTTTAAAACCAAGTGGTTCTTACTGCCGTGCATATCAAAAGCACTGGCCGCTCAGGCAGGGGATATATTCAGCCTTCCATTCTTCTTTTCCCCACTTCTCAGGGTCTGAAAAGACGTTAATTTCCTTATTTAACACCGGCGCTGTGGCTTCGCAGTCAGATCCCGGGTGCTCCATCTGTCTTAGCACGTGCCAGCAGGAAAGCGGAAGGCATGCATATTTATGATCTTCAAACAGCGTTAACGAGATGAAAGATTCGATTTGTAGCCTTGCGAAGGCAAACGGTTAAACAAGACCCCACTGGGGAGCACAGGAAAGGCTCTCTTTGGAAAGGCACAGAGGGTAGTTCGCAGGAGGGCATGAAATGAAGGTGCTTCTTTGATGTGTGGGCACCAGCAAGAAAGGAGACTGTACTTCCCTGTATCCCTGCTAATAGAAATAGCATGAAACAGGCCTATTCCTCTGGAGGTCACGGAACCAATTCAGCTGCTGAGATCCTTCTCCTTAACTGTCGGATGTCCCCCGTCTAAGCTGGGATGCAATTGGATGGTCCTGACCTTTTCGCATGACCTTGTCCCATCCTGCCCGGCTTTCTGCAAGAAAGCGCTGACATTGATGCATTCCATATATATCAGTGGCTCCTCCGGTGTGATGGTAAAAATCTTTCCGGCCTCTCTGCACGCCCGAGCAATGCAGTTTTTACATCCGCGTGGAGGGCATTTCACAGTGATGGAAAGGGTGTGCTGGACAGTCGGATGCATTTGAAACAATAATAGAAGAAAGCAGAAATGTCAGATCCCATGTTTTGACACGTGTTTTGCTTTTAGCTGTTGGCATTGATCTTCACATTTAAAGTCACCGTGCCTTGACAAGACTGTGCATGCATTTTATGTGAAATTGCACTGCTTGTTCGCAGCAATAAGTTAAAAAAATGGTTTTTGGAGATGCACATTTTTTTTTTGCAAATCAAGGCTCTGGAGACTTCTTTTGAATTACTCCTCATTCATCTTCACCTACTAATAGTCCTGTTGTTGCTGCTGCCACTATTAGTAAGGGATCATTGATATGATTTGTCTTTTGAAAGGAAAAAGGGCAAAAATGACACTTGGACAATCTTTTTATTGAAATATTTATTCTCATTTGCCATGACCCCCACCACAAAAAGCAGATGGAAGCAGATGGGTTTTCTCTTCAGTCATCTGCTGTATACAGGTGAAAAATGTTTCTCTCCTGGAGTTCTAGCCTTTACAATTATTGCACAAATATTTAGTAACAAAGTCCTTAAAATTCCTTGAAGTCGGCCTTGGCATTGCACTGTGAGCTGACGGCGTTTCATCTTCTTGTTTGCTGTTGTCACTGCCAGAGGGGCTCTTAAACAAGCCTGTAAATATATTTAATGAGTTTTTTACATGACTTCTCCCCTCTGTAAAGTGGAGCCCCAGATTGTATAATTCCACGGCAGACATGAATAAATGCATTTGCATTTGCACACAGAGCGGAGCTTACTTGAACACGGAGATGCCATACTGAATGATTCCTGCACACAGCCATTGCAGCGGAATTTGCATCGTTTGGCAGGGCTATGATTCATACAAGTGGTGGTGGATTTGGAGACAAAATGTATTTACATTGGGTTGCTGTAAGTGGAGCACTAATAACCCCAAAGCTCCACTTATTATTTTACAAGAGAAGGCACCTAACAAGCTCATTCTAATGGGCTTCCATTTTCATTCTTAAGGCTGAGTTTTTGAGGCAAGATTCGAGACCGCTGGTCTCCCTGTTCTTCCACAGTTTTTAACTTGCCCTTTCCTGATACGTTCACATTTTTAGCTTTTATTTTACTCAACCCAGCTCCTGGGAAAGTTAAGTGCGGTCAATCCACAGCCTATTTTGGCCTGGGTTTGTCGTGCTTATCAAAAGAAAACGGGACTGAAACAGTACATGCTACCAAAGCTGTTCCTGTGATTAGTCTGGTAAACCATGAGGAAGATCGCAGTGTGCTCAGACTTGCTCTCTACTGCTGTCAAAAAAAAAGGAGCAACCCACCTGAATTGTATGTAATCCTATTAATAAAAACCAAAAAGCATTAAAAAACGCTGACCAGAATTGAGTGCACTTGTACTGTGCATTTGCCACATACCTTCTATTACCATTCCTGTGCATGCTTTGCTGTGATTAAACTGCACTGAAACTATTCCGACCACATGTGTTATATGAAGTTTCATAGCATAGATCCCTGTCAATAGCTGAGATTGCTGCCAACTTCACAGGGAAAGAGCATGCCAGGGATGTTATTGCACACTGATGGCTCTCTCTTAGTTTAAGCTCAATATCAGGGGTGCTGGACGTCATCTGAGCTGTGTGAATGAGCCTTCGGATGTGTGCCTGGGATGGTGGTTCAGTTATGAAATCCACATGCTACACACTATACACTCTCAGTTTCCAGAAATAAATCTCTCCCCCCCCCCCCTTGTTAAAATGGTCCTGGAACCCTTACACCATTTAAACTTGTCAAAAACCATTCAATTGAGGCCCATCAGCCTGAACTGAAAAGGTCAACGTTTCGCACACGTGCATAATGGATTTCATTATGAAAAGGCTTTTTAATCTTGCAAATTCATTGAAAGGGGTGGCGCGCAGGGTCAGTTAATCAACCTTTTCTTTTGCTTTCCCTCAGGCCATTACTCAACATGTTCTGGGAGCACTCACACACCAGTAATCAGGCACATATTCCTGCTGGAGGAACCATGTAGAGGTTACCTGCAGGGAAGCAGTGGGATTTATAACCATTGTAAAACCACTAAAATTTTTAAAGGATATCACACCTTGGAGTGCTTGCGTGTATACTGGGCAGCTGTTTGTCTAGAAACATTTACAGTGTATCTGAAAGACAATGCTCTTTTTTTAAATATTCTGTGTCAGTGCCGCGTTCCTTTTCCAAATGATCATTTATCCATCGACTGCTTATCTCTTAGACCGTCTGTTTTCCTCCTTCTTCTTCTCTCTTGCTACAAAGATGTGATCACGCGGCCTAAACAAAGCCAGCAGTGTCCGCAAAGGAGTGGGGCGCCACTTTGTAATCGGATTAAATCTCCTCGCCACAGATTCTGGTGGCAGTTCTCCATCCGCGGAGACTTGACGAATTTCAGTCGTAGAGCAGGCCCCCTTCGCGGGGAACGAAGCTTGTAATCCAAAACATTTTCCGTTGGCCTCACTCTGTCAATATCCTTGACAAGTTTGGCACAGAAGGAAAAATTGCTGTTTCATTTGTTCACATACTTACAGTAGTGTCTGTGAGACGGATGGACAACTGGAATGACAGGTGTCTCAATAGAAGGATGTCAAGTCAATATAGTCTTCCTAAGGCAAAAATAGATAAGCTGTATCTGTCAAACAAAAGGAAGGGACTTCTGCCTCATCATGCCCAGGCCTCTGTGTGGGGTAAATGTTGTTGGTCGTGATATATCCCATTTAAACATGTGGTGCTTCGAACGGTTTCGGCGAACAGGACGAGGAGAGAAGGCATCTGGGTGAAAATGGACGCTCTGGGGGTTGTGTGCATGCTTTCACCAGGATGATTCGCAGCAGACAGCGAGCGGCACGCAGTGTTGACAGGCTGCTGTGCTCCTCGGGCCCAGAAGGAATCCTTTGCATGTATTGATTTGCATTTTCACTGAACCACCACAGCCTGCCGGGTTCCAGCTCCGTTCCAAAACTGACGGGTTGATTGATTATCCCATTAAATCAGCCTTGCTGGGGGGTGGGGTGGGGGCTTCATTTTACAGCATTCAAATCTGGACAGGAAGCGTTGGCAACAGCCTGAACTGAGACTAGTATCCGCAATAATAGAACAGGCTGCAGTGTTCCACCTTTTCACAGGAGCTCACCTGACTCTGCTTTGGATTTGCTTCAGGAAGCCAGACGGTTATTTAATCATTTAAAGGAGAGACTGTAAAATTCCGTGTGCATGACTGCTCTGCCCAGACTTAGGAGAAATGTGATGAACGTCGTCCGGAGAACCAGATGGCCCGTTTTAAATGTTTAACACTTATCGGTTCGAATAGCTTCTCCTGTGAGATGCTTCTATATTGCGTGTGCATTGTGCATGCCCTCCTGTGAAGAGGTTGTTTTTTTTTTTTAATACCCTTGCACAACCTTCCAGTACTGGCTAGGTGAAGCATGAAAACCCAAATAAAACCAGAAGGAATAGTGTCTCTGGACTGGAAGGGCTCTGTGCTCTTGTTTTTGGGGGTGGGGGCAGCATCACTAGTGAAAACTCTTGGCGTTGGTTCAGGCCTTTTGTTCTTTGTGGGCTTGTCTCCTCAGCCGAGCTGTCCTGCAGGACGTTCTGGACGCTGACCTGAGCAATGAGGCCTTCCCCTTCTCAACGCACAAGCTGGTGAGGGCAGCAGGACACCAGGTAGGTGAATGGGCTTCCAAACTGACCGCTGTTCCCGGCTGCCCGGTTCCGTCCCGATTTTCCAAAGCTTCGGCTTCATGGGCACTCTGCAGGCTCATTGGCGTTGCACCTTTTTCGATTCTGAAACGATGGCTGGCTCTCCCACCGCGGGGCGAGGTCTTTTGGCTGCAGCACTGTGGGTGTGTCCCTGCCTTTCCCCATCCATGAGGGGAAGTGTTCCTGTTGCGGAGCGCGTCGTGGCTTGGAATTGTGGGCCGTGGCCTGCCGTTGCCTAGGATACACAGGCAAGGGCGGTGAGGTGCTCTTCGTGGTGTCTGAGGTAATGGGGTGTGAGGTGTGCTGAGGGGGATCCACAAATGCTCTGACGCTCCACCTGCAGGTTTCTGTCTTGGGGGGCAGGTGGAGGAGAGGATTGTCTCCTGAGAATATTTTCTACGGCTGGAGGGCAGAGATCCCCTTTGGAATGGTTCTCATTTCCTGTGGTTTCCCGAGTCCAGCTTCTCCTTGCACTTTTTCACTTCTCCGGAATGATAAACATCCCATCCAGTTCCGGATTGTTTTAAAAATATGGGGGACTTCCTTTTACAATGACGGGACAGGGGGTGGGAACCAAGCCGTGAAACCAACCCCGCCGAAGGTTTGGGAACCGAAAACTTCAAGGGCCGCAAAAGAAAAAACAAAAAGGAAAGTCCAACCCGAAAAAAAAAAAAAAAAAACAAAACGTTTCGGCTGTGGAGCCTTTTGGACACCCTGAGAAGGCTCCAAAGCCGAAACATTGTGTTTCTTCCGAGTGCGTAATAAATCTTTACTTGTTCCTTTGCAGCCTATGCGTGCTGACACAGCTCCCGACTTGAACGACTTTCATTACCTGCCTTGCTCACTGGACGTTTCCTGTCATTGGTGCCGTGCAGCATTTTGTTTGTTCTAAATGAAAGCCCATGAGCTGGAACTCTATTGGAGAACCAGTCTGCAGCCCCAGAGACTGGAGGTGCACCTGCACCGGAGTGCTTGGTATAAAATTAAAATTTGATTTTAATTAAAATTTGATACAAAGAAGGAGGAAAGCAGGTTCTTTGTCTCTGCTGCTGCTGCTGCTGTTCCTCTGTGTTCCACTATGGGAGGTAAATGGGAAAAGACTGGCATTCAAAGAAGTGTCATTTTATTAAATGAATTCTCTTCTTTTTACTGCCATTATTATTATTATTATTATTATTATTATTATTATTATTTAGAAGGCATTTGTAGAGGTTAAGGAGGTGGCAGTGCAATCCATCCAAGTATGGAAGAGATGGAGAGCTAGGCACAGTTAAGTGCTTAGTTTAGGCTTGTTTTGGTGAGTCGACACCACCAATACATAGTCAAAGACCAATTAAAACAGAAGCTTTAAGGGCATCAAGCTGACAATCGTGAAAATTGATTTTTATTTAGCACTCTATACACACAGTGGTAATTATAAGCGGGTCTGGGTCCCAGCCTTTTTTTTTGCGATCTGATTTATTGATCCTTTGGTGTGGCTTGTTAACAGTGCTGATATTTAACCCATTTGAAGAAAAAATAGGAGCAGTTGACTGTAAACACTAGACTGAAGAAAAGCACAGAATCTAGACTTCTGTCACAGACGTAGGAAGGGAAAAGCTTTTTATGGGGTGGCTGCTTTTTTGGCCTCTAACTTGTCAGACATAAAGACAATGACGTTTTTTTCCAAACCTGTGCAACACTCTAAGTAACACCCTGAGGAGCGGTCTGTTAGGACACGACTGTGTTACCTACACCATGCTTAGTGGAAATGGATATAGGGAGAGGCAGTCTGAAGGTTGAAAAATGACAAGTCCCAGGTAACCTTGGAGAGGGGGAGGCGGGCTGTAGAGTCTGAATTATTGATGAGCCGGAAGACATCAGGTTTCCAGTACTTTGCAAGTGCCAGATAGAGAGGCTGGGGCAGGTGATGAGTTGTAATCTGGGCTGACATTGCAGGGAGTGAGTTTGGTGCTCCTGCATTCTGTTGTTACAACTTTGACCAAGGACACGTTTTTCACAAGGCCCTCAACCTCTCTTACAGCACCCATGTTACTTGCTGTTGAATACAAAACACTCCACTCAAAGTGCTTTACAGGTAATGGGGAATCCCACTACCACCACCAGTGTGCAGCCCCACCTGGATGATGCAATGGCAGCCAGAGTGCGCCAGTCCGCTCACCACACACCAGCTCTCAGTGGGGAGGAGAGCAGAGTGATGGAGCCAGTTCAGAGACGGGGGTTATTAGGAGGCCATGAATGGTAAAGGTCAAGGGGGTGAAATTTGGCCAGGACACCAAGGTTACACCCCTATTCTTTTTGAGAAACGCTCTGGGCTTTTAAATGACAACAGAGAGTCAGGACCTTGGTTTTATGTCTCATCCCGAGGACAGCAACGTTTTACAGTAAAGTGTCCCAATCACTATACTGGGGCATTAGGACCCTCACAGACCACAGGTGCCCCCTACTGGCCTCACTAATACCTCTACAAGCAGCATTCTTAGTTTTTCCCACGAGGTCTCCCATCCAGGTACTGGCCAGACTCACAGCTGCTGAGCTTCAGTGGGGCTGCTAGTTGAGAGCTGCAGGGTATGATAATAGCCACTGTCTGAGGTATAATATGGATTCTTGTGATTTAATGCATGAGCAAGTCTTGGGGCTGACCAGTGAAAGGAATCCAGGGTTTTTACTGCACTGGTCCTCTATGTGGGTCTCAGTGGTCCACAAAACCACTCTAGGAAAGCTTTGCCCCTTGTTCTGATAAACCAGAGCCAGCATAAAGTACTGGTTTTCAGGAACTTCCAGATGATGTAAGGAAATCATTCTTCGTGCAATGGACAGATGGCATCCTGAAAGAGTTTCCATTGAGGCCATTCCATTGATGCTATCCCTGGCTTGCTTTCGCTGGGACAAAGGCAGTGGAATGAAACGCGTCCATATCTGCACTGCCTCTCTCTGCCCAATTGCACTTTGACAGTTTATTTTATATCCGGCTTCCTGTAGGAATGCAAATTGCGAGAGTTGTCGAAATATCAGTTTTAGTGATTTATTTATTTTTTTATCCTGCACGTTCCTCTGTAACACTGATGTGAGTCAGTGTAATTTTTCATTTTATAGAATACATTAACTGGTAGGTTATATATTAGTCTGTGTTTCCTAATATAGGAACCGCTTTTAGTTTTGCAAGCAGCTTGAAGTTATTGATGGCCGTGATAAGCAGAGGTTTTCAGTATCATCGTTTTGGAGGGCTGGTGTGTGTGTGTGTGTGTGTGTGTGTGTGTGTGTGTGGGAGCTAAGGTAATTCCCTGCACTATTAAAATCCCCAGCTGCGTACTGTTGTGGCTGAGGATGGGATGGTCTGTTAACAGCACGTGGAAGATCGCTCAGCAGTGGAGAGTGAGACTCGGAAATCGACTGCTTTAGGCTGTTATCCTCCACCTCAGTGGGGAAAAAAAGCTATCACTTCCGAAAAATGTAGAGGAAAAATTGTTGGGTTTTTTTCGTCCGTTTATATTTCATTTGTTCCTTTGTTTGGTTTTCAATCCCAGTTCTGTGCTTCAAAGTCTTTAAGAGTTTATTGTGGCAATTCCAAAACCTACAGGACCAAAAGTGCTTTTGAGCAGCCAGTCAAAATGAAATCTAGTAACATCAGGGCACTGAGATCAGATCATATAATCCTGTGCTGCTTTATACTTCTGTTCAACTATTATAGTTAAGATCCAGTATATTATGACATATTGTTTTTTTATTTTATTAGGCTGTTTTTTGTGGGAGTATGGATTAGGTAGGATATTGATCGTTTCTCTTATAGTACTGAAGAGAACATTCATTTCCATATGCAAAATAAAATCAATACATGCGTGTTTTCATCCTGGCAGCAGGCAAAGGAACAGTACAGTGTATAACAAATTAGAGGTACAACTCCATGAGGGTCTGGCCTATTATCAGATATCTTTGGTTTTCAATTTGAAACCTCATTTTATCCAGTTCTAGCAATTAACAGCTTTTCTGATGAATTCCCTGCAGGGAACGTTTGGTGTGATTATCTAGAGAGTTTGGGGGAATACTTTGTGCAGGTTAGACATCCTCTTGCTCATCTCCAGCTAGTCACAGACCCAGATAAACAAATTTCTTTAGCGCTGGACAGCTTTCCATTAGAATTAAAGCCATCCAAATGTACTTTTTTAGTAGAGCATTCAAGTGCTCTCTTTTGGCAGAAGATGCAGTTTTTCATTATTTAGTGGGTTGTGGAGCAGCAGAAAGCCATAAAGACTCTGCTCAGTGACATTTCTGTGAGCTGAGAGGAGAGGTGCCTTGATCTATGCACTTCAGCACATTCTAGAGGCAGGGCAGTGTGGATAGGAGATTATGGTGGGGTTCTGAGAGGCAGAGCTTTCAGTTGGGTGACCTACAGTACAACCTCCTGCTCATTGGTTTGAGAGAGCCAGTACTAAAATAGTGATATACTGTACAGTAGTGTCTGTTGACATTGACAATGGGCTGCACCATTGCCTAGAGAAACTGAGAGACAGCCCATTGCACATGTGCGCCAGTAAAGGAGAGCTCATATGCATGCAGCAGTAAAAGAGAGCTCATACACAGTACAGTACAGGTACATGCACCAGTAAAGGAGAGATCATATGCATACAGCGGTAAAACCAAGATCTCCTATACAGTACATGCACCACTGAAGGAGAGCTCGTATGTTTTTGTGAGACAGCGAAAGCATGTTGGTTGACATTGCTGCCTCACAACTCTTGGATTGTGGGTTTGGATCGTGTTCCTCCCATGACCACTTGGGTTATCTGCAAGTGCTTTGGTTTCCTTTCCTCCAACCTCCCAAACACATGCTGGCTGAGTTCATTGTTGTCTCTGTATTGTCCCTGTGTGCATGTGTGTGTGCTCTACACCCTTCATGACCCAGTGATGGAGAGATGATGTTAATATATTTATCACTGTATTACCTAGTGGCTCCAATAAATACC